ATAAAAAAAAACAGGTTGGTTAAGAGAAACTACAAGAAATTATAACGATAACGACTCCGTCCGACTCCTAGTGGTATATCACATGGTCTTGTCTCCGGAGGCGTGTCAGTCAGGAGCTGACAGCCGTGCCGGACGCATCAGGAAATTCGGAGATTGGTCCAAATACTTGGGAATTCCAAGTTTGGCCAAATCCGAATTTCTGATTGGTTCGATGCGGAGGAAATTCCACTTTTGCTGTGTAAAACAAAGGATTTGTTTTACATAAAAGCAGGTGGATTTTCTCTCATCGGTCAGTCGAGCTTGCCTCTTCTACTGTAGACCTAGTCGGTGTTATTATTGTTCCAACTAAGTTATTGTTTTATTTCTGCTTTCCTATATACCATTTTTATTTTAGCATTATTGTATATTCAGACCTTTTCAGGTTAGAATATTACATACTTGTTCATGTACTTATTGTTTGATATTTTATTTGATTATTTTGATTGATTATTTTCTCGTGTTTTGTATCTAAGGTTTTTCTTTCGTAAGTTAAGAACACTTAGAAATATTTGTCTTGATTTATCTATTTGATTTTACTTGATATCTAAGCAGTTCTTTCCGGTAAGTCAAAGAACTCTTAGAAATATTGCTTTCCTATTTTATTTGACTTGTTAATTTGTGTGTGTCTAAGTCGTTCTTTTCCGGTGAGTCAAAAAAACACTTAGAAATATTGCTTTCCTATTTTATTTGACTTGTTAATTTGTGTGTGTCTAAGTCGTTCTTTTCCGGTGAGTCAAAAGAATACTTATTATTTCTGATATTTTTACCTAAGATATTACTTCATATAGGTAATTGACTATTTTATTTTCCATTTTATGTTAAGTTGTTTCTTCCGTAAGTCAAGAAACACTTAGCAATATTTTTCGCATCTTTTCTATATTAGATTTTCTTGTTTGTATTATAAGTTGTTTCTTCCGTAAGTCAAGAAATACTTAGACATATTTCTATAATCTGTTTCCTTTTTGCATTTCTTGTTTTATACTTTAAGTGTTTTATTTTTCATTTCTAAGTCGTTTCTTCCGTAAGTCAAGAAACACTAAGAAATATTTCCACATTTTATTCTCACATTTTGCATATTTCATTTTTCTTTTATATTTCTATCCTAAGTTGTTTCTTCCGTAAGTCAAGAAACACTTAGGAACATTTCTCTTGCATTATATTTTCATACCATTTGATTTATTTGATTTAATGAGCTATTCCTTCCGTAAGTCAAGAAATACTTAGATTATTTTTACCTATCTGTCTTCCATCTTTGCTCTGTTACTTTGTAACTGTTCCTTGGAACCGTTACCTATAACAGATATTTGTCACTGGAACTGTTATTTATAACAGCAGTGGTATTTAACCCTTATACCAGCAGCAAATCAGAGATGGTCAATACCCGTTCAAATTCCGGGGATAGGAAGAAGCCCGAAGAGCCGGCGATGGGTCCTACAGGCCCAAATGCCCCCTCTCGGCAACAGTCTCTGCAAGGATTCTCATTTATCAAAGAGGACATTGTTGATTTTTGGTCTAAATTTATATGCTATTTTATGAGCGGATATGCCGTTTTTGATTCTTATTCTCTTTTTTTTGGTATAGTGTTTTAAAATATGAATAATTTAATATAACTTACTCCATTTTGGAAAAACTGGAGATTGCTAACTTCGTTACTAGGATCCGCGCATCATGCAACTGACATCTTTTTATGACTATAGTTCACAAATCAATGTTTTATTCTCTTTCGTATTTGCTAGAATAGTTAAAAAACAGTTTTTTCCATATCCTTTCATACTTTTTCTTGCCTTAAAGTCTCTGAGTTGCACCAACTGACAAATATTTTCATTGTCACACAACTACTGACTACAAAAATAAATTCATAGAAGACGTACCAAAATCAGCGTAAAAACTTGACACTACCTCCCAGACTATAACCGTTGATTGAATAACACTATAACGTATTACTTCTTCGTTGAGACATCAAGGCGATTGCTTCTTGTGCGGTAAGGTGGAACGAAAAAATCGATACTTTTTTTGACATGTAATACCTGCGAAAAGTTTGTCTCCGGAGGCAGAAGCTGACAGCCGTGCCGGACGCATTTAGAAATTCGGAGAAATACTTGGAAATTCCAAGTTTGGGCAAATCCGAATTTCTAATTGACTCGATGCAGGGAAATTCCAGTTTTGCTACGTAAAACAAAGGATGTGTTTTATATAAAAGCAGATGGAATTTCTCTTATCGGTCAGTCGAGCTTGCCTCTTCTACTGTAGACCTAGTCGGTGCTATTATTGTTCCGACTGAGCTATTGTTTTATTTCTGATTTTCTGCATACCATTTCTTTTATTTCAGCATTATTGTATATTCAGACCTTGTCAGGTTAGAATATTACATATTTGTTCATGTACTGATTGGTTGCTATTTTATTTGATTATTTTGATTGTTTATTTTCTTGTATTTTTATCTAAGCTGTTCTTCCGTAAGTTAAGAACACTTAGAAATATTTTCTTAGCGCATTATTATTTCTGATATTTTATCTTTAAGATATTTTCTTTCGTAAGTTAAGAAAATACTTATATATTTGTCTATTTCATTTTCCATTTTATGCTAAGTTGTTTCTTCCGTAAGTCAAGAAACGCTTAGCAATATTTTAACATCTTTTCTGTATTTGATTTTCTTGTTTTCTATTATAAGTTGTTTCTTCCATAAGCCAAGAAACACTTATAAATATTTGTGCATTTATTTTACTTGTTTATTTCCTGTTCTAAGTTGTTTCTTCCGTAAGTTAAGAAACACTTAGACGTATTTCTATAATCTGCTTCATTTTTGCATTTCTTGTTTTATACTTTATTTTTCATTTCTAAGTCGTTTCTTCCGTAAGTCAAGAAACACTTAGAAATATTTCCATATTTTATTCTCATACTTGCATATTTCATTTTTGCTATATTTCTGTCCTAAGTTGTTTCTTCCGTAAGTCAAGAAACACTTAGGAACATTTCTCTTGCATTATATTTTTTATACCATTTTGATTTACTTGTTTTTACTAAGTTATTCCTTCCGTAAGTCAAGGAATACTTAGATTATTTTTTACCTATCTGTTTTCCATCTTTGCTCTGTTACTTTGTAACTGTTCCTTAGAACCGTTACCTATAACAGATATTTGTCACTGGAACTGTTATTTATAACAGCAGTGGTATTTAACCCTTATACCAGCGGCAAATCAGAGATGGTCAATACCCGTTCAAATTCCGGGGATAGGAAGAAGCCCGAAGAGCCGGCGATGGGTCCTACAGGCCCAAATGCCCCCTCTCGGCAACAAGTTGACCCTATCTATAGTATACTTGCTGCTAACGTTTCAGTGGAAAATAAAAATATCTTCAGGGCTCTACTGCGCATCAAAAAAAGAAAAAAATCAAGAAAAATCGATTTTATTTATTTTTTACTTTTAATAAATAAAAGAAGCTGCTTTTATTGATGTTAATTATTTTCTATTATTTTAGTTAAAAATAATGTTATTAGAGCTCTATCTGTCACTCAAGTAAAGATTTTGAGCAATATTTTTGGAAAAAAAACAGATCAAAAATATCATCAAATAATGTTTAATATTCGTCTTAAAGTTATTTTTTATTAAATAAAGCTGCTAGCAAGGCTTCCCGTGAAATAGTTTTTCCCTGTAAAACGTTTTTTGACCTGTTGCTAGATCGGTTCGACTAAGTAAGTAAGACGAAGTTAGCTTAATCTTTGGTCCCACTATACTGATAGCCGTAGATATAAGATCGTTATTATAATAATTAATCGGTACGTAATGAGTTTGCCAGTGAAAGACACTAGGGGCACTACTGATTGTTCTATATTTGGTGCACCTGCGAATATACCTTATAATGTTTTGCCAACTATAGAAGATATTAGTTTCTAGTGAAATCGAAGCCATCTGGGAAAAAGCCTCAGTTCCCACTGTATCAAGCAATCGTATTATTCGATTAATTCGTGATATCCTGAGTAAGTACCAAACTCTCATCAGATATCCAAAACAAAAACGTAATGAGACTTATAATTTAAGAGTAAAAAAGTTCAGGCAGAAAGCATAAAACTCTGTGGCAAGAAAAGGTTGGAGATAAACTTCATTGCAAGATAAAAACCGAATAACATATTTCGTTACTTATAGAACCAGGTTTTAAATATCTAAATCACATTACTTCAACGTCAGGTACAGGAAGACATATTGCAACATCTATACTAAATTTTTTTGAAGAATCCGGTATTGGCACAGGTAATCTTTTAGTAGTAGGCTGCGACGGTACAGCAGTCAACACTGGGAGGAAGAATGGAGTTTTACGGTCTTTAGAGACAGAACTGAAACGTCCTCCGCAGTGGTCAATTTGTCTGTTACACATGAATGAATTGTTCCTCCGGCATATCTTTTAATCTCTCGATGGAGAAACTTTGGGACCTCGTAAATACTCTAGCAAAATAGGTAAACTATTTGTGTCTTGCGAAAATTTGCCAGTAATCCATTTTGTTCCTATTCATACCACTCTACCACAATTAGATGCTGCAGTTATAAAGGACCTTAGCAGTGATCAAAAGTACTTATACGAAATTTGTCATTCGGTGTCTAGTGGAAGTGCTCGATAGATTTAGCAACTCGTAATCCGGGTAAATTATCACATGCACCATGGGTTACAAAGGCAAATCATATATTGCGTGTTTACGTCGTGAAAATCTGTCTTTGGTTTTAAGATTTTTGGCTGAATTTGTGGTAAAAGTTTATGCGCCAGTGTGATTTAATATTATAACTACTAATCCATTGTGTAGTAGACACGTCTTTAAAATGATTCAATTGTCACGCTACCTGAGGAACAAGTTAAAAGCCGTCATTGATCCTGTTTTCAAAAGAAATTCGTATTTTTGTCATCCGGAGAACCTTCTCCTAGCAATGCTTTTTGATGATCGTCCTTCCATAAGACAACTTGCCTTACGCAGAATGTTGAAGACGCGCACAAAAATACCTACTGTGGACACGAATGTAAGAGAATTTCTAATTCCTGATTTAAATTTTAATGCTAGTGAATATTATGAACTCATTGATTGGCAAAATTGCTCTGTTACAATTCCTCCCCTTTTATCTACTACAACTGATGAGGATATTAGAAAATGTATTAATGGTGAAGAAATTTTTCCAACTACTTTTTTGTCATTTTCTTGTTATACTCAAGCAGTAGAAAGATGTGTGAAGGTTGTAACATAAGCTTAAAATTCTGTCAGGCTATGACTCCAGAGATGGATTTGTTCGGGAAAGGGTTCATTCAAGAGCCATATTACCTCGATTTAACACTAAGGCGCAATACATTCCATACATTTTTTAGGAATTTAAAGACAAATAGCAGTTTAATTTCCATTTAATAGTCTAGATAATAATATTTGATTGAACTTTTTTTTTTAAGAGAACCTGTTTATTTAGTAAACGGTTTGTTTTCTATATTAGAGATTTTTATTGTTTTCTATATTAAAAGTTTTTATAAAATAAGGGATTTGTATTTTTTTGTTTCTTTAAATGTAGAAGACTTTTTGAAACAATAAAAGTTGGTAAAAAGCCTAATAGTCATTAATATATTTAGCTTCCGCGCTATTACATAAAAAAAAATTATTATTTTTTGTATCACCCTGTACAACCTAGAAGATGAAATAGTAGAAAAAAATAAAAAAAAACGTGGTACTCCTCTATGCAGTAAGCAACTTATCCGCGCTATTAAATTAAACAAAATTTTATTATTATTATTTGTTTCACCCTGTAGAACCCTGAAGATGAAATGATAGAAAAAAATAAAAAAACATGGTACTCCTCTATGCAGTAAGCAACTTTTTCGCGCTATTACATTTCGAATAAAAAATAAAAAAAAATCTTATGTTTCACTCCACCCTATTGTGCGGCTTCTTTTTCTATTTCTTATTTTTCTCATTTTTAAGAGTAAGAAAGAAATTTCAAATATATTCAATACAAACATTGAAAATAAGTTATAATAAACCCTCTAATCCACTGCTCTTCAACAAAAAGGTAATGCTAATAACCCATAATTACAATTTAAATTGGGTTGCAGTTTTAACAAGCTCGAGAATCAAAATTTTTCTTTACGGAAATATTTTAGTCAATTTTCAATGTTTTTCCGAGAAAATTCCTTCGTCAGTTTACAGTGAGATCTACATCAAAGCAAATAATTAGTGAATTGACAAATTTCCTCCTTAATGACTACGAAATAATAAGGAGAGGGCGGTGTGTCAGAAGGGCAATAATGACAGAAAATCCTCTTAACGTCTGCGTCTTAAAACAACGAATCGGCTTTTAAAGAAAAGCAAAGAAAATTATTACAAGCATGCAGTTGAAAATTAAATTCAAATACCTATTAAAAGAACCAATATTTCTCTTTGCCCTTAGACGAGATGAAGACTGGGAATTTGAGACTTGGTTTGATAAAAAGGGGATGTATGTTCCCTGAACCTTTTGATGAGGAAACATAAGAGTAAATTATAATAAAAACAGTTTTATAATATGATTTTGAAATTATTTTCTTGTCATTTTAGCTTATTCTCATTAGAATATATAATACATTAAGAAACATTTTTCAACGGGTAAGTTCAACTACAAAATAAAAATATAAATTTTACAATTCCGGTCATTAGTAATTACCAGTAAAATCACAATATAAGTACAAAAACTAATAATTTTGTGGTTACTTGTATCCAATGACATAATTTTACAAAGAAGAATAATAAACCCCCACTATAGCAAGACAACAATACTCAAAGGAAACGTATCCTTGGCCAATTCGCAGCAGCATGAGTTGAGGCGTTGAGAACCAGAACGGACCATATCACAAAGTTGTGAAATTTTAGATAAGTTTGCTTTTTAACCCAACATTTATTTTTCGTTAATTCCAGAGTAGACCATATGAAATGAGAAAAGGCAGCAAATATTTGATTTCACGCAAACAAATCCTATGTATCTCTTGATACGTATTTCGACCTAATAGGTCTCGTCAGAAGAGCTATTCATAGGGGTTCTCAACGTGAAAAATCAATATTTTCTGCCTTTTAAGAAGCAACAATAACATGGCTTCAATACGGACGCACTAGCGACATCTAATTAAACAATCGTAAAATAGTTTCGAAACACAATTCAGATTTCTGCTTTATAATCTGAGCCTTCTAAGAATTGCAAGGCAAATAGACGTTGATAAAAGATGTTAAAGACGAGACCTATTAGGTCGAAATACGTATCAAGAGATACATAGGATTTGTTTGCGTGAAATCAAATATTTGCTGCCTTTTCTCATTTTATTCGGATTTACTCTGTATGAGTACTAGAAGCACAATTCGCTAATGATTTCTGCTTAGTTGTAAAAGACATGTCGTGGAATGCAAATTTTAGATTCCCCATGTCTCTTTTAACATCTTTTATCAACGTCTGTTTGCCTTGCAATTCTTAGAAGGCTCAGATTATAAAGCAGAAATCTGAATTGTGTTTCGAAACTATTTTACGATTGTTTAATTAGATGTCGCTAGTGCGTCCGTATTGAAGCCATGTTATTGTTGCTTCTTAAAAGGCAGAAAATATTGATTTTTCACGTTGAGAACCCCTATGAATAGCTCTTCTGACGAGACCTATTAGGTCGAAATACGTATCAAGAGATACATAGGATTTGTTTGCGTGAAATCAAATATTTGCTGCCTTTTCTCATTTTATTCGGATTTACTCTGTATGTGTGCTAGAAGCACAATTCGCTAATAATTTCTGCTTAGTTGTAAAATACATGTCGTGGAATGCAAATTTTAGATTCCCCATGTTTCTTTTAACATCTTTTATCAACGTCTGTTTGCCTTGCAATTCTTAGAAGGCTCAGATTATAAAGCAGAAATCTGAATTGTGTTTTGAAACTATTTTACGATTGTTAGACCATATGAATTTACTCTACTGTACAACAGATGGCCTGCATTAGGATGGTCCATTTTCTTTAAGACAACACTAGTTGCGAGCCAGACTGGACTATATGGCATGGTCCGCTTTGGTTTCTGGGAATACCAGTTTGACCTAAAAATAGTCATTGACTTATTCATACATTATAGTACTATCTGCTAATATTAAAAGTGTTTTTTACATAGAACAGCCTAAAAGAGCGAGTAAAATGGCTTTTATGTCTAAACTGAATATTTATCAACATTAAATTGAAGGTATGACAGTGAACCCTTACAGTACCAAGATAATGGTAGTTCCGACGAATATGTGCCTTCAAAGTTGGAGTCTGCAAGTGATACTAAAATAGATTTCCAGCATGTAAGTCCAAAACAGCTTAAAGACAAGCCAAAATCAAAGAAACGCATACGCTGCGAGAATAACTGAAAGAAAAACAAACGTAAGTTTTTACGGGCGAGTAAAAAAGAGTAAACAAGCACTAAAGGTAAGATTGTTTCGGCCATAATACATATTTCAGTAAATTCTTGCTGCAAACTAAATTGCCATAAAAAAAAGAGGTTAGTCTTCGTAAATGGGTATATTTATTTAAAAACCCTTAAAAGGGCTACATCAAAAGAACAAACGTTTTCGGACTAAACAGTCCATCATCAGGTTTAAATTTTAAAATTGCTAGGTTAAAATGCCTGAGCCACCAAAATACATGGGTAAAAACCCTTTAAATTACATATAGTTGTAAAAGATTATACATCATGTTGTTAAAAAACTGTGATGTTCAGTATTAAATTAAATATGACTTCAGGTAACATACATGGCTGAAGTGAGTTCCAGAGCCGGAGAGTAAACCTCTACACACGGAGAACAGCTGGTAACTCTGTGTTACTGTTCTCCGTGTGTAGAGGTTTACTACACACTACTACTTTAACCTAGCAATTTTAAAATTTAAACCTGATGATGGACTGCTTAGTCCGAAAACGTTTGTTCTTTTGATGTAGCCCTTTTAAGGGTTTCTAAATAAATATACCCATTTACGAAAACTAACATATTTTTTGTAATACGTGGTATACAGCCAGCTACAGGAATTGTTTTCCTTGTGGAAATTGGCATAAGTTGTCGAACACCGAAAGTCATGAGCATATCAATCAAAAGTTTTATGTACCGACCAGTATCGACTTGCAACTATCGAAGTGCATTTATTTTTTCGCAGCTAAAAGTAGTATACTACTTAAATCTAAGAATTTCACACGACATTAATATTTACCTAACAATAAAGGTGACGACATCAAAATATGCAAAATATTATCTAGGCAAGTGCTGAACGTCAGCGATGGTAAACTTGATCAACCGTGAAGAAAAAACAGAATCTAATTCCACTAACAGACCAACGTGGAAGACATCCGCCTGCTAATAAAATCCCACCCGAAACTGTTAAAGCAGTTTGTCATTTTATTAAAAAAATACTATCATAATATTTCTCACTATATACAACAAAAAACAGAAAGAAAATATTTATCTTCTGATTTAAACATTCGTATTCTTCTTAAAGAATACAAGAAATCAACAAAGGATCCTGTTTCCGTGTTCATATTTATTTCAAAACATTTTTAATACAAAGTTTGATTTACACTTTCTTGCTCCGATTGTTGATTCTTGTAGAAAATTTGATTTATTAAAAAGACAAATACAAACCAACGAAAACATTTTGCAAAGAAAGAAGAGCTAAAAATTAAAATAGAGCTTCACCTGAGAAAAGCATAAGAGCTAAAAGAATCAATGGTACAAGATTCTAAACTTATAATAGAGGGACACCACTGTTTTTGCCTTTGAGTTGATGAAGACACTGCCCACCCCAGTGTTATCGACAGAAATAACATATTATAAAAGGTAATTGTAGACGTATTGTCTTGGCGCCCATCATCTACAGTCTGGAGAAGTTAATATGTATGTATGGAATGAATCCGTTGCGTCTAGAGAAGCTCAGGAAGTCGGCTCCTGTCTTATCCATTTTATTAAAAATTATATTAGAAGCAAAAAAGTAATCATGTATTCCGATAGCTGCGAAGTTCAAAACAGAAATTTTAAGATGGCTTTACTGTGTACTCATATGGTGCAGTAAGATGACTTTCTAGTTAAAGAACTAAAGCATAACTTTTTACTTAGTGGACATTCCTTTACGTCATGTGGCCGTGACTTCGATCTAATCGAGAAAAATAAAAAATATCACAACAACATCTTTCATCCTAAAAATTGAATCAGTGTTATTTCCACGGCAAGAAAAAGAA